CAGGTTGTGGAGACCCTCCTCCTCCTGCCAGAGGTCCAGGAGGGTCTCCAGCTCCCTGGGGGTCCAGGATGGGGCCCGGCGTTTCCGGCCCCTGGGGGCTTCTTCCCCTGCGGGGCTGCCATGCTGGGCTCAGAGGTGGCTGTTGGACAGCACTGCGGCACGTGGCAGAGCTCAAGCTGCACGCTCTCCGGCAGGCTCCTGCCACGGGCGCCCAGCAGCCTCCGAGCTCTTTAAGAGCTCAGGTTAGCAGGAAGTTCGGGGCTCCTATGGGGTCTCGTAGGAAGTCTGGGGCTCCTATGGGGTCTCGCGACGTCCAAACCGCTTTTTTCCGTTTCTTCTGCTTTTCCGGAAAAGCTGTCTACACTGGCCCTTTTCCGGAAAAGCTTTTCCGGAATAAGGACTTATGCCCGAGCGGGAACAGCGTAGGGTTTCCGGAATAGCGGCTGATTTTGTACAGTACAGCGTCATTGCTTTTCTGGAAATTCAAGGGGCCAGTGTAGACAGCTCACAGCTTATTCCGGAAAAGCGGCTGATTTTCCGGAATAAGTGGCCCAGTGTAGACACAGCCAATATGTTTCTTTATGCTCCAGCTGCCCATTGATTAACAGTATACATTCATGCTATGAATAGGAGTTTGTAGACTATTTAAAATATACAAAACATGTTTAGCTGTGTTTGAGTTACTACAGTATATACAATAAATATGTATGTATTGTATGGTACATTTATATTTTATGAAACTAGTAAAATGTCATAGAACACTGTTAGTTCATATGTAAAGCTGAAATTTCTTATTTCACTTTTATATAAAAAGGACCAAGTCTGCTCTACTTAATGGACAAAAAAACTTAGACAGACATGTAATCTGAGAAAACAAGATGTAAAATAAGTGCAAGAAAGTAAACTTTGGTACCGGCAGCAGGAAGAGGGAAAGGAGAATGCAAGGAAAGTAGTGTTTCTGTTCCTGCCAAATATATGACCAAATATCTGGTACTTAGAAATATATGTGTAAAATGTTCTTTTATATATATATTTAAAGAACAGCTACAGGATTTAGAGTGATAATTTTAAGTAATATTCATGTTCTTATACTTGTCTTGGGGCTTTTGTAGGAGTGAGTAGCAGTGACCATTAGATTTTCCATTTTTCAATTAAAATAAATCCTTTGTTTTCAAACTAGTGTTGTAACCATTTCTCAGAAAGGAAACTTAAATGAATATCAATCCATTAATATATCTGCACAGAGATTTAAATGAAATATGTACTAGTTCAAGAAAAAAAATGTTTCTAGTTGAAGTTCATAACGTTAAAATTGAATGAATCGCATAGAATTCAAGTGGATGTTATGTACTGAAAATATTTTCATATTATTGTTTAAGTGGTACTTAAAAAAAAAAACCTTATTCGCTCTGGAGAGCTGAATCTAAGATTCCATATTACAGAAAGCAATTTCACCATCATTAGCTAAATAAGAGGGCCCTAGGAAGAAGGGATTATCATATATTAAATTAAAAGTTCACCACCTTACAGCTTTAATCCTGTTAGAAAAGATGATTTCTATCTAACTTAATCAGCAAGAGGTTTTTATTGCCTGAAGTATTAATTGATTTAGGTCCTCATTAAGGTCAGAGGTACACTTGGCTGACCAGGGGCAGCCAATTAGCACATTGTCAGTTGTGCTTATTTACATTGACTGAACATAATGGTAGGTTGTTTGACTGTTAGGTCAGGGGGTCACTGAATCTTTTGTGTACTGTGACCTTTTAAAGGGCAACAGTCACTCAGACACGCCACTGCATTTACAACAAAATTTAGTTTATTATGTATTGACTCCATTCAGTCCTAGGAAACAGGTGCTTTGTTCCTACTGAGCAATTAGTATATTGTTTCTAACCTAAGTACTTTTAGGGGAGTGCATGAAATAGCTCTCTGAAAATTTCTAAAATTCTTGTTCAAATACCAGTTCATTATTTCAAACTTTTTACACTTCAAAAAAAGGAACTTAACGATCCATTCACACAAGAGATGTTAAATTTAGATTAATTAGCTAATTGAATAGTCGATGCAATGTGTATCGACTATTCGATTAGTTGATAAGGGCGCCTCCACCTTTGAAGTGTTGCAACAGATATTTGGCCATGCATATGACAGGAACAGAAACACTACTATTCTTGCATTTTCCTCTCCGACCTCCCCCTGCCAGTTTCAAAGCGGCAGCACCACATGGAGCCTGGGGTAAGCTGGGGACTCTGAGTCCGCAGCTCACCCTGGACTCCATGCGACACTGCCACTTTGAAATGCCACAAGGAGCCCAGTGTCAGGCTCCATATGGGTGTTTCAAAGTGGCAGCGCCTCATGGAGCCTCGGGTCAGTGGGGGAGTCTCCAGCTGCATGTGGTGTTTCAAAGCAGCAGACCCCGGGCTCCACATGGTGCTACCGCTTTGAAGCACCCTTCCTCTTTCCCCTCCCCCTGCTGCCTTTTTCTGATATAGTGCTCAGACTTCCCAGACATGACTAGCTGACTAGTGTATTGACTATCTGATAAGCATTTGCTTATCGGATAGTTGACTAGTTGTTCACATCCCTAATTCACACTCTAATGCACATATTCTCTATTTTGATACCATGATGGCATGTTAATTTATTCAGGAATGATCTTGTGGCTTTAACTTAGTCAACCCTCAAGTCTTGTACTAGATTTGAAGACCCTCCTTAGCAATGAGAAGAAAGTACTACTGGTTCAATTCACATCCCACAACTCTAGTGCCTGTCAGTGGTTCTTTTAGTCCACAGAGAGGTGGGGCTGGACTGAATCAACTGTGTAAGTACAGGGTCTGGTGGGAGAACTGGAGCCACAGTATATGTAAAGTCTGAAGTTTTTTCAGGCATTTCCCAGGTTCTTCCAGATCATTATTTGAAAAATTTCAATTTATGACTTACACTTTCTATGTTCAGAGTTTAAGGAAACTAGACATGGCAGAATGAACCCCATAGCTTTGCTTTATAGTTTGCTAGTAAGATGGCAATCCTCTTAACATAGCAAAACATTCTCCAAAGAAAGAATAGGCAGAGCAGATTGTCTGCAGACCATTACTTTGAAGCTAATCTTCTATTTCCTATGCATACACTGGTAAACGAGTTGAATTCATTCACATGAGGCAATTAGCCAGTATTTCATTATAGCATAGGTAGTGAATCCAAAGACCATGTAGATAAATTATTAATTTTCAGTATTATCTTACATCTTTGACCTTAAGATTAACTGAACTAGACACATGATGTGTGATGGGGCCTGAGGCATGAAAGCCATGATTTCCCTTTAGAAATCAGCTTGATTTGACTTTAACAAGTTATATTTGTCCAAAGATTTAATTGTATATATTGTATATAATAAGACTCTCAATTATTCTTCCTCGTGTGATGGTGTTCCTCCCACCCCCCCAATCTTTAAGCATCAGCTACATTAGTGGCACCCAGTTAGCTACATCAGCACTTCATTTTCTGGAACAGTTTCTGGATGTGTAGTTGTTGTTATGTTTAAGATCACAGAATGATAGAAATGTAAAGCTAAAAGGGACCTCAAGATGTCAATAAGTCTAGCCTCCAATGCTGAGGCAGGACCAAGTAAATTTAGACCACCTCTAACTGCGGTGTGTGCAAGCTGTCCTTTAAAATCTCTGATGATGGTTATTCTACCATCTGAAGTAGGCTTACAAGGGAGAACTTAGTTACCCTTATTGTTAGAAAGTGTTTAGTAATATCTGACCTTTTCAATTTCCCCTGCTGGGGATTAAATCCATTACTTCTTGTCCTTCTTTCATTGGACATGGAGGACAATTGATCACTGTCTTCTTTATAACAACCCTTATCCTATTTATAGAATCCTCAGCCAGAAGAGAACATTGTGATCTTCTAGTATGACTTCCTATATAACAGAAGACATAGAACTTCCCCAAAATAATTGCCAAGGCATTTCTTTTAGAAAAACTTCTAATCTTGATTTAAAAATTGTCAAGTGATGGAGAATTCATCACGACAAGTAAGTTCTCACAGTTAAAAAATTTCACTTTATTCTCACTCTAAGTTTGTCTTTCTTCAACTTCTAGCCAACTTCCATTGCTGGATTGAAGAATCCACCATTAAATATTTGTTTCCCATGTTAGATACTTGTATACTGTGATCAAGTCATCCCACATTGTTAAACTAAACAGATTGAGCTCTTTGAAGACTGTTGTAAGGTCATGGAACAAAAATACACATTCACTCCATACTCTGGGTGTCCCTAATCCAGAAACACCTGTGGTACAGACCCTGGAAGATGAAGGAGGAAGCAACTCTTTGCGTTGGCACTCTCTCCCTCCCCAATCAGCTGGGGTAACAGCAGCACAGCAATGTGCTTTCCCTGAGGCTTTTCTCTGCCACTATGGGAGCATTGGGAGGCAGTGTCTGGAAGTGATGGGGAGCACTGAGCAACATGGGCCCCAAGGAGCAGGACCCCAGAGGAGTACGCCATCCTTATCCCCCTCATGCCTAGACCTTGCAGCGCCCTCCCTGACCTGGCAAATTCTTTAACCTAGAATACCTTATTTCCCAGGGTTCCCAGATTAAAGATGTTCATGTTTGCTACCAACATTTAGAATTATTTCAAATATGTTTGTTTCTTCTGAATTTCTTAAATGCCCCTCAGTAATTTGCTTTCATTACTGTCTCCTACTCCAACAGCTTTGCAAGTGTAATGCTGACAGGCAGAGCTGAACCTGGTACCTCGGGAGAGTAGTGCATGAACCTCTACTGCATGACCTAAAACCCAGTTGGCTTTCAGCCGAGGCTATAGAGCAAACTCATTTTTCTCTCTTTCTATGGTCTACATGACATTACATGGGACCGTGAACCACACTCAGTAGATGTGTGGGTTACACCAGCACAGAAAAAGAATATATTCCAATGCTAGTGCCATCATGAGCATTAGCCAGAGGTTCATGTGCGATGTTCTAAGAAAGGTGTGATTTCCTAGAAAGATCTTTGTGATGGACATTTAGAACAACCCCAAGAAAGACAAATTTTCAAATAATCCATTGCTTTACTTTTGGCTCATGACTTACTGGACTAAAACTGGAAAAAAAATTATTTAATGTTTAGAGGTCTATGAAATGCAGGTAACTTCTGGACATGTTACTGTTATTGACAATAAGTGTAAATGACAAAATTTGCAGTACTGGTTGCACCTCCCTAGTCCAGTACTCTGGGCACCTGACCGGTCCCAGACAAGGGTGTTTGCCGGACCAGGGGAGGTCGGGGAGGGAGAGGGTACCAGCCTCCCTGCTGCCCCTGGCCCTGCTGGCTCTGGCAGCCCTGCCAGCTCCATGGTCTCACTGGACTTTGCTGCCCCACTGGCTGTAGGCTCTGTGACCCCGTGAGCTCCAGTGTCCTCTGCACCCCTCCCAGCCCCACAGGTTCTGTGGCCCCACAGGCTTTGCTGCCCTTCCAGGTCTGCAGGCTCCAATGGCCATGCTGGCCTTGCCTCCCTCTGGCTTTGCTGCTCCACTAGCTGTAGGCACAGCTGCCCCACAAGCTCCATTGCCCCATTAGCCCCCTCAGTTGCCTCTCTTCCCAGCTGCTGGCAACCTCTGCTGCTGGGGCTCTCTGTTGCCAGATCAGAGAGTCCCAGACCACAAAGATTCAACCTGTAGTTGAAAAATAGTCTAATTTGAGCTAAAAGTCTGCATTCCCTGCTCAAAAATTGAATATATGGAATAATACATTGTCATTTTAATTCAAACACAATATAACTATACCTGCTTTGCTTGTTATATCATAAGAAACAGCTCAAGTATATAAAATAGAAGTTACCACTTAATAAAAGAAGTGAGAAAATAAGACAATCTGCAAATCCCCTTCTGGTTTTACCATAGCTTTGCCGTGAGTAAGCAGCATTGCTGTAGTTCCTGAGAAGTAGCCTGGCAGGGAATTTGAGTCTCTTGATTTAAGCTTCCCTGTGGTGGTGAGAGTACAGTGTACCAGAACTATTCCTGTGACAGCATCACCAATGCACTGATGCAGCTATCCTGTGTGGCATGTTGGAAAGATAGAACCTAGAACTCAATTTTCCTTATTTTTGAGGGGAGGAGGAGGAAGAAATGGGATATATTTCAGATCTGAAGAGTCTACTTTCTCTCTTCCACTGACAGCAATGGTAGGGATGGATAGCACTGGAAGTAAGAGAGGGTCTCATACCTCATGTACTCCTTTGTTCTAGCACGCAGGACATGCCATAGTCTGGCCTTGTTTTGTGCTTAGATGTTGCAGCACAGCTAGAATATATAATGGAACACACCTAAAGAAGAGGTTGGCATTCCTAACCATAAGAGGAAGAATTACAGATTTTGAAGGTTTGATTCTCCTCTGCCTTGCACTTCATGTAGTTGTTTACACCTATGCAAAATGAACATAGAATGACAGTTCATCACACCCACTTTTGCATCAGTTCAGTGATGCCACAAAATGCAAGAATCTATAGAATCACTATGATATCGTTTGTCAGTCTAACTCCAAATCAATTTCAGTGACTATGGTGTAGCTACTCTGGATGTAGATTGGCGTAACAGACTGGAATTTGGCTCAGAAGAACAAGCCTTAAATCAGAGAGTGCTTTCATTTCTGATTTATTTGATCTTTAATGAAATTTTAACACAGGAAATATTTTAATGGGTTACAATGGAAATAAAATTTACAATGCAAATAAAATTTACAATGCAAATGGAGTCATTATGTTGGTGTATGGATGCATAACAATTAAATTGCAGTTCTCTTTCCACTGATAATATTGGTCCTCTGGACTTGATATTCTGTGAAATTGTAGCCTGTTAAGTTTTCTGTAGTTGTCATGGAGGTTCCAGAGAAACTGTTGTAAAGCTTTAGCAGGGTTCTGCCCAGCACACTCACAACACAAGGATTGCCACCATACATTCTGACATCTCTTGTGGTATGATTTCTAAACTGTAAATGAGATGTTCTGGGGTCCTCCCAGCTTTAGATGGGTTTTACTCTATCACCTTTCTCTGAAGCATTTAAAAGTGCAGATAGTCTTTTGAAACCTGCTCAAACACTTTGCTGTGTTGCCCTTGTAAGTTATTTGTTTATTGATAGTTGTATGCCATAACCAAGTCATTGGGAAAGGGGAGGAGAAGGATGTACACCTCTTCTCTTTTAACTTAAGCTATGTCCCTCTGCAAAATAATTGCTAAAAATTTGTAACCTTGTTTTGATTCCTTTTCCTCCTTCTTGCCCACTGGCACTCACCTTTATATAACAACGGCATCTTGAGAATACAGGGTTTTTTTCTATAAATTATGTCTTAAGAAGAAAACAAGTATTTTAAGAAGGGGGGGGGGCAAAAAGCGGTTATTTAAAAAAAACCCTCTGTACACTTCCCATTGAATTTGAGCCAAAAGTGTTGCCAGTTTTGCTCAAATAATTCAGAGTTTTGTTTTGACCCTGCTTATGACCAGGGGAACTAATTGTATTAGAACTATCCAGGAGACTTTAAGAAAGTGCTGTTTTAATGCATATTTTAAAACACTGACAGATATTTTATCATTAATTAGTATTCATATTATGTCTCAAACAATCTGTTCAAGAATAGAGGAAATGAACTGGTTGAACAGCTCTTCTGTCTATCTAGTAATTAACATGGGAGATGCATGTAAAGCCAGGGGCCTAACGGGGAAGAGGGAGAAGTAGCACTGGGCAGATTTCTCTACAGAAGATTACAAATTACCTATGCTGAGGGCTTTGTCTTATCCAAAGATTTAATTTAGCGCATGTGAGAATAAAGGCCTCTTTTTCAAAAATAAACCTGTGCCCCTCTGAGTCATATCTTCCTGGATTTGCTTCCTATCTTGTCAATATGCCACTTGATAGCTGGCTGGACTCCCTTATTCAGTAAAATAGAAGGATTTCTTTTTTTTTTAAAAGTTCAGTAAAATAGAAGGATTTCTTTTTTTAAAAAAAGACCATTTGTTCTTTTTTAACCAAAATATTGCTTGTTTCTTTTTTAAAAATACAGGGTTATATATAGCATTATCAAAACAATATTTTAGACATCTTATACAATTTTAAAAGATAGTTTGATGGATGTCAGCTAATCTATTATGCTTCCTCTGTGCCTCCTCCCCCTCTTCAGCTGCTAATCATAGAATTTGTATGCCAAATTGTGTAAGACACTCTTCCAATAGTTACATGTGTGAGTCTTTTGTGAGACACAGACAGTTATGAGGACAGATTTGGAGTTGCATATGGGTCTGTCACATGGTTTGATTGCCATGTCTTCCAGGACACAGATTTCTTTATTACTTAGCCATAATTCAGAGGAGTTTATACAGTTTATAAAAAAAGTTCTGCAAAATTTCTCTCAAAGAATTCTTGCACAATTCATTTTATATAACAAAACAGAGTGTTCCCCAACTCTCTCCACTTACTGCAATATGTTTTCTATGCTGGCTTCAAAGCTGCTTACTCCCACTGTATATCCAAATTCTGTACTTAGTTGTCTTTTGATGTGGAGTAACATTCACTGCTCAGAAATTGTATAGACTCTTTAGGGAATAAGAAGATGAAGTATCTTTATATTTACATTAAATTCTTAAGTCCTGAATTTGTCTGAACAATAGGAATCAACATTTCTTCTGTTAGCTATGGTTGAAAGAGTAAGTCTTGGGAGTGTTGCCTGGGAAGCTTTGTGAAAAGCCGTCCAATATAGCTATGCTTTAGCCCCCAAAATAACATAGATTGATCTGATATTTTGTATGAGCAGAATATCTGGCAACCAATTAGCTCTTAAAGCAAACAAGCATTCTAGTTAGATTTCTGGAAGGTGAAACCAACTCCCTAGGTCCCAGTAACATTCTTCTTCAGCTCTGGAATCATCAGTGTCATGTTCCTTGGTGGCAGGTTAACATGAATTGTACAGCTGTCATTCAATTGGGTATTATATTTAATGATACTGAAATTATACCGAAGACACCAAGAGTATTATGGACAATTGTCTTTTATTGTTTGTATTTCTTGAGAGAAATTAAATAAAAAATGTAAGCAGCAGCAAACCAGAGTCATCACGGATATCTGTGTTTAAAAAACCCATAAAATACAGTAGCCCACAACTCCACCTGTTTAAACTTAAAGCAAAAGCAGCCAACCGTTTTGAAGATTGACATGTTTTAGAAACAATAGCAAAATTTAACACCAAACAGAGCTGTTGGGCTGACACATTGTATGAAATGGTTACCTTTTTATTTTTTCAAAATTTAACACCAAACAGAGCTGTTGGGCTGACACACTGTATGAAATGGTTACCTTTTTATAAATTCCTTGAAATAATGAAAAATCTTATCCATGAATTGTAGAAGTAAAAAAATATCCATTTTTTTCTGTATACCTGAGTTGTCAGGCTGTAAACAAACTTATTTGGAACTTGACACAAATCCTTTCAGTGATTTCAGAGAAATATTTTGACATTATGAAAGGTTAAATATACATATTTCTAGATGTACCTCTTCAGTTCACAGCTGATTCTTTTGAAGAGTATGTACATTTGACCATCCATGTATTAAGTTTTAGGTTAAAGTTTATCATAGTTCAATACAATTATTGTGTAACTAAATCCCTGTCAAATATGACCTTTAGCTTGGCACACTTATTTCATTTGTGGCAGAGTCAGAGGTAACTCTGTGATAGCAGAGAAGTCCGTGCTCAAAGAGAATGCTTAGAAAAAAGAAATATTTTTTTCAAACTTTTTTTTTATTATTATTATTCTTTTCTAGGTTGGAGAAGTTCTATACTGTGCTGGACAGATTGCATTAGTACCTTGTACTATGCAGCTTGTTGGTGGTGGCATACAAACTGAGGCTACAGTCTCCCTAAGCCATGTTGAGAAAGTCCTTAAAGCTATGAGCCGCAACACTGAACTCCACCACATCCTTATGGCTAATTGTTACGTAACTAACAGCAAGTACATTCCTGTCGCTCACGCTGTATGGCAAAAGAAATTAGATGAACTTAAAAAGGTATCTATAAGATCAATTTTCTTCTTTCTAGTTTTTAAAAAATCAATTTATAGAAAGGTTTTTTCTAAGTTTTTCAGTAATAGAATTTTCTTAGTGTTTTTTAAAGGGGTTCAAGTAAAACAGATATAATAAGGTTTGATTGAGCTGTTATGTTCTGAGCTGTAATGTTCTGGATTATAAGTGGCTGTGCACAGTTGAGAAGGAAAATTGCTTAATAGAAAGTTATAGTCATCACTAACTTTGTCTTAATTCCCAAAAGCAATAAGTGGAAGAATTCTTTAAGAACAGCCAATCTCTCCTGCTCAAATTTGAACAATATTCAATTTGAAATTGTTCTGCCTATGTTTTTCTATAAAAGTGCTATGTGGTTTATGTTAACATTTTAGGAATTATTCTGCTGTTTTTCTTGTTTCTCTGTTTATCTAAGTGATATCTGCATGCATGTGGAGTTCATTAGCTTTTGCTGCTTAATTTTCCCCACAATGTACAAGGCCAAATTCTGACCTGAGCAAGTTTAGATGGCTATTAATGACCCTAGATCCTCTCTGACAATATAATAATTTCCACCGTGACCGTGATGTCTTGTGATGCACTAATAATACTTTATATTCCTGTTTGTTTCTTGAATGACCTCAGTCATGCTTGGGAAAGAGAGGCTTGAGTACTGTTTTTTTTTGTTTGTTTGTTTGTTTGTTTCTTATTGTGTTAGGGCCTTTACTGGTATGCTTTATGTATACCCATACAAAGGCTATGTCTATACTGCAAAGTTTTGTGCAAGAAGTCTTTTGCAGAACAGTTCTTGCACAAAAACATGTCCACACCTCAAAGCGCATCACAAAAGTGATGTGCTTTTGCGCAAGAGAGCGTCCACACTGCATGGATGCTCTTGCGCAAGAAAGCTCTGATGGCCATCAGAGCACCTGTGCTTTTTCCCGTAGGGGTTTCTTGTGCAAGAAATCCCTCTGGAGCATCCACACTTGCCTTTTTGTGCAATAGCTGTAACACAAAAAGGAGTTATACCTCGTAGAAGGAAGTTTACCTACACCGACAAAAGCCCTCTGTTCTGCCATTTTACTGCTGATTTACTTGCACAAAAGCGCATTTGAGCTGTGGACACTTCACAGGTTTTAGCGCAAAAACAGACATTTTTGCACAAAAACCTTGCATTGTAGACGTAGCCTAAGAGAGGGAAA